GACCCGACTCATAGCGACCCCTCCTTAGGTTTCCGAGGCAGTATCACTATGGAAGTAGATTGCCCCATCTTCCTTCCGAGGAGTGGCTGGTGGGTTTGTAAGGCCAGCCTTCTGGTTAGCAGTCAAGTGCCTTAGGCACTATGCTACCAGAGCTCCTGAGCAAGTGCCTTAGTGAGGCAGTATTCTCAGGAGAAACCTGTTAAGTAGGAGGAAGTAGGAGAGGGCAGAAGAAGCTGAGTAAAGATGTGCTCTCTGCTGAAGTTTAGCCTCAACCTAATTCCATGGGAGCACTGGAGTAGGAAGGACCTCCAATCTATTATTGGTTGTTTATAAGTGCTTAGGAACTCTGGTAGCATAGTGGCTAAGGCACTTGACTGCTAACCAGAAGGCTGGCCTTTCAAACACACCAGCCACTTGACGGCACATAACAACAACAATAACATAAGTGCTCAGCTACTAACCAAAAGGCTGGTGGTTCAAATCCACCCAGAAGTGCCTTGGGAGAAAGGCCTGGTGATCTGTTCTGAAAAATCAGCTATTGAAACTCTATGGAGCACAGTTCTATCCTTACATACATGGAGTCTCTATGAGTTGGAATTGACTCAATGGCAACTAGGATTTTTTTTTTTTTTTTTGTACTCATAAAAGAGTCTCTGTCTATGGCCTCCCAGCCTCATCTCAGGTCTTTCTCAGGAGAAAAGGCTAGATGAGGAGGGAGGGGTGCACTTGCTAGTAAAGGTGATTTCAGCAGTGCTAACAGTATCTGCTATGGTCCTTAACCTGTATATATTTTTTTAAGTGTATTTTTTATTTTAAAAGGATGCAAGTTAGTCATCTCTTGGAAGAAATGAATTATTTTTATTTCATCTTATTCTATTACTTACTCTTTTAATATTGTTTTCTCAAAGTTAATAAACTGAAGCTCAGAAATGTTTACATTATTTGCTCAAGTTCAAGTATATAAAAGGGATAGAGCCAGGTCTTGAATGGAAATCAGTCTTATCCTAAAACCCATGCTCCTAACTATGCTAAACCACTTCCTTTGTTGTTGTTGTTAGGTGCCATCAAGTTGGCTCCAACTCATAGTGATTTCCTGTACAATGGAACAAAACACTACCTGGTCCTGTGCCAGCCCCATGATCTCTGCTATACCTGAGCCCATCGCCGCAGCCACTGTGTCAATCCATCTCATTGAGGGCCTTCCCCTTTTTCATTGACCCTCCACTTCACCAAGCATGATATCCTTGTCCAGGGAATGGTTCCTTCTGACAACGTGACCAAAGTAGGGGAGATGAAGTTTGGTCATTCTTGCTTCCAAGGAGCATTTCACCTGCACTTCTTCCAGGACAGATTTATTAGTTCTTTTGGCAGTCTGTAGTACTTTCAGTATTCTTTGCCAACACCACACTCAAAAGCATCAACTCTTCTTCAGTCTTCCTTATTCATTGTCCAGCTCTTATGTTCATAAGAGACAATTGAAAATACCATGGCTTGAGTTAGGAGCACCCTTAGTCTTCAAGGAGACATCTTTGCTTTTCATTACTTGAAAGAGGTCTTTTGCAACAGATTTGCCCAATGCAATGTGTTGTCTGATGTCTTGACTGCTGCTTCCATTGGTGTCGATTATAGAACCAAGTAATATGAAGTCTTTGACAACTTCACCTTTTCTCCATTTGTCATGATGCTATTTATTGGTCCATTTGTGAGGATTTTTGTTTTCTTCATACTGAGGTGTAATCCATACTGCAGCCTATAGTCTTTGATCTTCATCAGTAAGTGCTTCAAGTCATCCTCACTTTCAGCAAGCAAAGTTGTGTCGTCAGCTTATCGCAGGTTGTTAATGAGTCTTCCTCCAATCCTGATGCCACATTCTTCTTCATATAATCCAGCTTCTTTGATTATTTGCTCAGCATACAAGTTAAATAAGTATGGTGAAAGGATACCACCCTGATGCACTCCCTTTCTGATTTTAAACTATGCAGTAATGCCTTGTTCTGTTCAAATGACAGCCTCCTGATCTATGTACAGGTTCCTCATGTTCTAGGACTCCCATTCTTCTCAATGCTATCCATAATTTGTTATGATCCACAGTTGAATGCTTTTGTACAGTCAATAATACATAAGTAAACAACTTACTGGTATTCTTTACTTTCTCTGGTTTTAAGGATGGAAATAACCAAACTGTGGTCTCACTGCCGTTGAGTCAGATCCAACTCACAGTGACCCCTCCATGGGTTTCCAAGGTGGTATCACCACGAAAGTAGATTGCCCAATCTTCTGTCTGAGCAGTGGCTGGTGGTTCAACCCACCAGCCTTCTGGTTAGAAGTCAAACGCCTTAGGCACTATGCCAGCAGAGCTCCTCAAACTGTGGTAGTTAAGGTTATGTGTCACTTTGGCTGGGCCTGGTTTTGAGTGGCTGGGCATCTAGATGTCCTATTCCCCATGATGAGACTGATAATCAACTCCATGGTGGAATCTAGTATGAGCTGCTGAATAGCTGCCTTAGGGAATGTGGTCTGCTCCCAGTCTGTAAGGAGAAGCTTTAGGAATGGTCTGTAGATTTTTGTCACACTTGAATCCTGCATGTAGCTGAGTCATTGTTCAGCAGCCTGCCATGTTGTCTGCTGATCTTAAGACTTTTAATGGACTTGAATCAGTGGCCTACTGTGTGATTTGGTAATACTGGGACTGTGCCTTTTTGCTTATTGACCGTGGGTTTGTCAACCTCAGCAGTTAGCAGCTGCCCGAGTGAAGGAAGACTCCAGCTTCAGTGGGCCAGGAGCAAGGAGGCAGAGCTGAAGCCCAATGTCCAGGGCCTTTCACCCAGCCTCTAGAGCCTGGCACTTTGAACTTGCATTTCTAGCCTCCACAACTATAAGAGAATAAACTTCTGTTTGTTCAAGCCAACCATTTGTGTATTTTCTGTTAGAGCAGCATAAAGTAACCAAAACCAAACCCACTGCCATTGAGTCTATTCTGACTCATAGGGATCCTATTGGATGGAGTAGAACTGCCCCATAGGGTTTTCCACAGCTGTAAATGTTTACGGGAGAGCTCTGGTAGCATAGTGCCTAAGGCATTTGACTGCTAACCAGAAGGCTGGAGGTTCAAACCCACTAGCCACTCCTCGGAAGGAAGATGGGGCAATCTACTTCCGTAGTGATAATGGCTCGGAAACCAAGGCGGGGTCTCTATTAGTCAGTCTGACTCGACAGCATGTAACAACAACAACAACAAATGTTTACAGAAGCAGACTGCCACATCTCTCTCCCAAAGAATGCCTGGCAGGTTTGAACCTCTGAACTTTTTGGTTTGCATCCGAATGCTGGAACTACTGCTCCACCAGAGCTCCTTAAGGATAAGGATAACCACTTCGAATATGGTCTGTTGGATAGCATACACACTCTCAAAAGCTACCTACCCTTTGTTAAATAAAATTGGAATTGGCCTGTAGACTCAACAGATTTGTTTTGCAACCAATCACTGAGCGCCTAGTATGCTTGGGAAACCGTACTGGGCACTGGGCAAGGATGACTCAGACCCAGTCTATGCTCTCAAGGAGCTTGTGCCCGGTACAGAAAGCAGGTACAGATACATAAACTGTATTACAAAGGGGCCAGTGGTGCACTGACGCAGAAAGGGTAACTACTGACAGGTGCTGTTGTTAGCAGCCATGAGTTGACTGGGACTTACAACCCTATGCATATAGAATACAACTGCTCTATAGCATTTCCAAGGCTATAGGAAGCAGATTTCTAGGCCGGTCTTCCCATGTGTCGCTGAGTTCTAACTGCCAACTTTTCCACTAACCTTTCTGTTAGCAGCCCAGCTCCACTTAACTACACCAGGGCTCCTTTTGTTGGAGAGATGTTAGTACCCAACTAATCCTCCCCAATGCCTGACTTGCAGAAGGGCCTTCCACACCCCAGCCCTTTTCATTTGGGAATATTTGTGGGATAAAAAGAATTGAGAATTCATGACATGATTCACCGTTATCTTTAAAAAGTCACTTTTTCTGCAGTGAATTCAGCAAACTATTCTTCTCCCTCTGCATCCATGCATTTCAAGTAGCGTGTGTATGTTTGTTTTTTCCTAACATATACTTGACTGCTAACCAGAAGGCTGGCGGTTCAAACCCACAAGCCACTCCTCGGAAGGAAGATGGAGCAATCTACTTCCCTAATGATACTGCCTCAGAAACCCAAGGAGGGGTCGCTGTGAGTTGCTCCCACTTGATAGCACATAACAACAACAGGGCTTAACCGTCTGTGGCACCCAGGAAGTTCCGAGGTGTAAGGAGCTCTGGTAGTGTAATGCCTAAGGCATGTGACTGCTAACCAGAAGGCTGGCAGTTCAAATCCACCAGCCACTCCTCAGAAGGTAGATTGGGCAATCTACTTCTGTAGTGATACCTCCTCGGAAACCCAAGGTCGCTATGAGTCGGCTCCCACTCCACAGCGCATAACAACAATTCATAGCTGAAGAGAGAGAGAAGATCCAAGTTTGCTCTTAACTCTTGCTTCCAAAGATTTGCTCTGCCTGCGGCACGTAAGGAAAGGAAACTCCGTTTTCCTCAAGGGAGATGTGGAACTGCTGGAAACTTTTTAGAATGTATGTTCTAATGTCAAAGAAAAAAAAGGAAATGTGCCACTGGGATTTCACTTTCTACTCTTCTGGCCAACAGCTCGTCTTGAGCTGGAGGTAGAGACATTGCAGATTCCCAAGAAGGAAGCTTGGATTGCGCGAAATGCCGGCCACTCGCGCTTGAGCTGGGCGCGGCCGGTGTGGAAAATGCGGGAGGCCGCGCGTGCGCGTCTCGTGGAGGGTGTGGGACGCCCAGGCACAAGACACCCTAAAGTCAAACTTCCTTTATTCTGAGCTGGAAGGAAGGGCTGGGCGACCCAAGAAGGGGATTGACTGCCGTCGGGACAGGGACATCCCCCAGTTTAGCCCCCGCGCGGAGAGGCGAGAATCGCCTTCCCGCGCGCCAGGCGCTCGTTCCGGGTCTGAGGCTCCAGGTGCGCTTCCCTCCGGGAGGGATTTTCCGGTCGCCTGGGCAGAGGGACTAGGAACTCGGGCTCAGTCTCCACCCCAAAGTGGGGCGGGTCCGGGAGGCATAAGACCAGTTGCCGGGCACAGGCGAGGGTGTGACCTCCGCGGCCTCAGGCGAAGAAGCGCAATCCCATCTCGGCACTGAGCGGTAAGGGGCCCCCTGCCAGGGGTCGGGGTATCCTCGGCTGGGAGAGGGGTGCGGCGGCCCTGGAACTCCTCGCGGAGATACCCGGCCCCACGCCGCGCCTGGGAGAGGGTGCTTGGCGCGGCCCTATGGGCCCGCGGGCTTGCAGGCGGGGCCGGGGCGCCCCCAGCGAGTCCGGGACTCGTTCCTAGTGTGCATGAAGGGGACAAACACGGGCCTTACTCGCAGGTACCATCCAGAAAGACTTTGAGAGCACTTTATGCAGCTCAGGACGCCCAGCCAGAGACCACAGCAGTTATTTATGCACGTATCCACGCACTGGACTAGGCTTGGACATTAAGAAGGACTGAATTAGTATGCTCTGGATCTCTCCCAGGCTAACATAAAAATTTTACTGTTTAATTCTTTCTTTGCCTCTTTTAAAATACTCCTTTCTCCTAGTTTTCCCCTTTCTCTCATCATTGTATCTAATGCTGGTAACACAGTGCCTGGCACATGAAACTTTGTTATTGTTGTGAGGCCCTTGACTCTCTAGCTCTTTTGTTTTGGCTTGGACCAGCTGGAGACTTGGAGACCAAAGAGGCTATTGCTTTTCAACAGTCTGCCTGACTTTAAGTGTTCCCCCACCTTGATGCAAGGCTCCTCCTATAAACTGTTTTCAACACCGTGAGTTCTGAATAACTCACACTTTTCATGAAAAGCGGAAAATTGGAAGGACACATGCCCCCTAAAGCTGACAGGGAAGGATGGTTAGGGTCCCCTCCTCCAAATTACCCATTCCAAGAGCTATCAATTCCAGGACTCCCACTTCACCTTACATTACAAATTACTCTATCTGTAGCCAAGCTCTAGCTGTTAATAGTTGCCAGGGAATTCAGACAGTGAAAAACAGGAGAGGAAGGGGACAGGAAAGAGGAGGCAACCCAAGACCTGCTAACTCCCCAGAGCTCTATCTGGCCAAGGCCAGATCCCCTGCTTTCAGCTCAGATCAGATTTCTATTGATTTGAGGATGTACACACCCTTACTGGATCAAGGGCATCTATGCATTTTCCCTCCTGAACATTGTTGCATTTGGTTAGGGGTAATTTTTCTCTGAAAGCAATTTAGAGAGCATCCTTCACGGTCAAATTGGGCCACACCAGCCTCAGCATTTAAGGGGTGAGTCTCCTGGTCATCCCCAGATTCGTGTCTTGTAGCCAGTAACCGTGATTATGTCCAACCACTCATTTGTTTTTCCAAAAACAGTCTAATGAGTTTGTGAACTAAGCATGTTCTTTTCCACCAGAGATCAAAGTGAATGGCAAGCGCTGGGGATGGTAGGCAGTGTACCACGGAGTACCTGAAACAAGCTTGGATGTCACTTTTGCCCAAATAGTTGAGGATAACAAAGGAACCCAAGGCTTCAAGTTGCAGTCATTTGTCTAGTTCAGACCATGTATAAACTGAGGCTTAAATCTAGATGCCTGGTGCTAAAGCCTGTTCTTTTGTCCTCTGAACTCTGCTGAGGCCCCATTAGAGCTTGGCTCATAGGGATTTGGGATTTAGATTTGTGCTTACTGGCTTATTAACTAAATCTTGATCAAATGTTTTTCTTTTCCTCTCCTACTTTACTCTTACCAAGCCTCAGCCTAAGCAGTTAGATGAAACACCGACCTGTGAGATAAGAGTTGAAAGAACTGGAGCAATTTAGATGGGAAAGAGAATACTCTAGTGGGTATGGTGGCAGATGGTGCCTATCACAGGCAAGGTGATTCTGACTCAACCAAACCAAACTCACTGTCATCGATTTGGATCTGACTCATAGGGACCCCTCTTTGGGTTTCCGAGGCAGTATCACTACGAAAGTAGATTGCCCAACCTTCCTTCCTTGGAGTGGCTGGTGGGTTTGAACCATCAGCCTTCTGGTTAGCAGTCACATGCCTTAGGCACTATGTGAGCCTATAAATGATAAAACAAACTCACTGTCATCAAGTTGATTCTGACTCATAGTGACCCCTACTGGGTTTCCAAGACACTACATCTTTACAGAATGAGACTGCCTCATCTTTCTTCCACAGAGCAACTGGTGGGTTCAAACTACCAACCTTTTCATTAGCAACCAAATGCCTGAACTCCTTAGTGACTGTAAATGCTTGAGAAGCTTGGCATGTGGACAAGGGAATAAATTCACTCTATGTGACTTCATTGAGCAAAGACAAATTGGGTAGGAGTTTTTTGGATGGTAGTTCTGGTTGAATTTAAGGAAGTGGCTTTTGAAATGCATTGATTGGGTAACCTTGGAGTCTTCAAGAGCTCTCTCATCAGAGGCACCTAGACAGAGGCTAGCTGTGACAGCTGGAAGGCTATGCTAAGATAACTTCTAAAGCCATCGTTCCCAAACTTCAGGGGACACCAAAATTCCCCCTGCATGTCTAACATGCAGACTTTTTTGCCTTACCTCCCAAAATTCTGATATTGTATGATTGGATGGGACCCAGGAAGATGCATGTTTAACTGGCGCCCTAATAGTTGTAATTCAGATGCTTCTAGAACCTCATTTTTGAGAAACTGCTTTAGAAACACATAAATATGTGTATGCTTGATAAATTTAATAACATTAACAAAAATATACACTTTCCTAAGGGAGCTTAGGTCTAGTATTATGCTACAAAGTCTAGGTAGTGTGTTGTTGTTGTTATGTGCCGTCAAGTCAGACCTGACTCATAGAGACCCATCTTTGGGTTTCTGAGGCAGTATCACTATGGAAGTAGATTGCCCAACCTTCCTTCCAAGGAGCGGCTGGTGGATTTGAACGACCACCCTTCTGGTTAGCAGTCAAGTGCCTTAGCCACTATGCTACCAGAAACCTTTCCCCAGTCTTAGAGATATTTCCTAATTATGCCTATCATATCTCCTTTGTGCTACAATTAACCACAGGTCTTTCCCCTCCCCCCCAAACTTAACACCTCTAGACCAACATCACTCAGTCACTCACTGCCATGGAGTTGGATCCGACACACAGCGACCCCTCCTTGGTTTCCCGAGGCAGTATCACTATGTAAGTAGATTGCCCAATCTTCCTTCCCAGGAGTGGCTGGTGGGTTTGAACTGCCAGCCTTCTGGTTAGCGGTCAAGGGCTTTAGGCACAATGCCACCAGAGCTCCCCTAGACCAACATGAGCCCTGCTAAAGGTTTTGTGTTTGTTGAAACTGAAATGGATTACTATATTAAGATTAATTTCCCTAGGAATTTAGGATATCTATCTACATACAGCCTGTTATTGATTTTGTTAGTGTTCAGTTATGTTTGAACTGAACTGGACTTAGAGCTTTTTATATGGGAATCTGAACTACCACCTTTGAAAAATTATTTTTGAAGTTCTAAATTATTTGAAGTCAATGAATCATGATACTGCTTCTTGGTCCAGTGGGTTTGCCACAAAAACGAGAGTGAATGTTATATCAACAATCAACAACAGGGATAAATAGCAATGAATGTCTGGACAGTAAATTACTATGGAAAAGACTTTACATTTCCCCCTCAGAAATCATTAACCCTTTTGGCCTAGAGATAATGCAGAGCATGAGCAGCCTGACATGGAAACGAGCAGGAGGCGCCCTGAGTGGGCTGTTGACAAATCATCAGAAAGACCACTTGCCCAGTCACTAGGTAGTCATCCCTCTGAGTTAAGCTACTCACCCCCTGGGAAGGTAACATATTAAATTATTACCAGAAGCTAACTTAAAGGGGCCCTGTAGTTACCTGAAGGTGCTCAAATGGCACACTGATTAAAGGATTTGGCAACTAAGTGAAAGATTAGCAGTTTAAACCCACCAGCCACTCCATGGGAGAAAGATGAGGCAGTCTGCTTCCGTAAAGATTTATAGCCTTAGAACCCTATGGAGCAGTTCTACTCTGTCTTATAGTGTTGCTATGAGTGGAATCAGCTCAATGACACTGGGTCTGGTGATGGTTGGGTGGTTACTTGGGAACAAATTCTCCTAAATTTTATTGTAATTGAGCCGTCTTTCCTCTGAAGGAGGCATTTTATAGACATAACCTTGGTGGTATAATCAGTCCCCAGCATCTTCCTTCTCACTCATCTCCAGGGAGGCATTTTCTAAGCTCTATTTACCTTCAACTTCTGTTATTGCTGCTTTTTAATACTGTTGACCAGTGGTCATTACCCTTGTTAGAGTCACAGATCCCTTTGAGAATCTGATTAGAGCCATGAATTCTCTCTCAAAAAAAAAAAAAAAAAAAAAAAGACAAACTCCTCCCCCCACATGTAACATTTTTCATATACTTTCCATGAATTCACAGACACCTCCCCCCCACATACCAAACCCAGTCATAGATACCTAGAAGGCATATAGACATCATTTAAGAATTACCTTGAAATTTAGCAGTGCTTATTAAAATTTTTTTTAAAATGCATTTACCTTTGTTTCAGAAATTTAAATTCCAGGAATTTATCCTATAGGTACACTTGGACATGAATAGATGTTTATGAAGTTATATACATTATACCCTTGTTTGTAGTAGCAAAAGATTGGAGAAACCTAAACATCTATCAGTAAGGAACTGATTAAATTATGGTACATCTACGGAATGCAATATTATGCAGCTGTTAAAAAGTGAGATATATACATATATAGGAACTGGTATTGAATGATATCTAAGATAAATTGCTTTTTTTAAAAAAAGCAAAGTGCAGCTTTGCATAGTATGCTTCCATTTATGTATGCTTATTTATACATTAAGTACTTCTGGAAGAATACACAAGAAAATTACAACAATGGTTACCTTTGGGGGCATCGTGTGAAAATCTTACAGATTTATCACTGTTTTTGTGCTGTTTGAATTTTTTACTATGTTTGTGTATTACCTATTGATTTTTAAAATAAAGAGTTACAGATACCCACACACCCATTTACCATAGTGAATAGAGAAAATAAGTCAGAACTGAGGAATATAAAATTATTAACTTCTCCAATTTTAAAATTAGCATAT